TCTTAAATCTACAGCTCCATGTTCTTCTTGTTCCTTGTCTTTTTTTGGTGATTGGGCTGTATTTTCAGAATCATCATTTTCAGGTAACACTGCCAATTTTGTCCTCCCTCGAATTGTTGTAGGTGTACTTCCATCAACTGATAAAATTTGTGACCCAGTAAGATTTCTGCCAGGTTGATGTGGCAAAGTAGTGGCAAATTTGTCATTAACTTGACCATGGGTTTTAACAGACTTAACAATGTCATGTTTCTCAGTTATGGTACTATGATTAGGAGGGACAGCCGGTTCTGTGTCAGTTTGCTTAGTTGTCACTTTTTCAAAGGTTTCTTTACAGCGCTGATTTTGCTCAGTTTTTTCACACTGCCAATTCCTGCTCATTCCAATGTCTATGCATCCTTGACGTCTTTGGGCGTCATTGACACTGTCGCAGCAAAAATAGCATTCCTGGCAGATATCATTGTCATCAAGAAAGTAACCTTGGGGACACTTAGTTCCACATTTGCGATTTTTGTCCGGTGTGCAGTTCTGAATTACATTCTTTAAACCGCATTCATGGCAAGCCTTGCAACTTTCTATGCCATGGCTGTTGGAGTATGACACATTTGCCTGGCATAGTGTACATACTATTTTGGTGTTGTTTGGAACCCTGCCACCACACTGTGGGGTCAATCCTTGACCTTCGGGACACTCAGGACATTTTCTGCACATAGTCTTAGCTCCCGGATCAGTGGGGTCATAGAGTTCAATTTCTGATGTCTGTGAACAACCTGTTAAGGGTTTTCCTACGGCAGATAATATCATCCATGGTAGCACTTGTAGCAGTACAAGAATTTCCTGAAAAGGAAAACAATAGCATAATTAATTATATTTATACAATAAAAAAGTAAATACATTAGTTAATTAAACCAATAAGCCCGGTAACAGATAATACATGTACATCTTCCCCTGGGGCCAGGCAAAGTCAATTGATAAATTTGTAATCAAAATCAATCAATAACAATCAATGAAAATCAATGAAGATTAATAGCAATCGATTGATCAATTGATAGCAATCAATGAAAAGCAGTGAAGAAAAATGTTTTTAGACAGATTGTTATCAATTGCTGATAGTAATCAATAATGTTTGATTCA